TTATAGCAGCCTTCCAGTATCTGAAGGGGACGTACAGGAAAGATGGGGAGGGACTTTTTACAAGGGCATGTAGTGATAGGACAAGGGGTAAGGGCTTTAAACTGAAAGAGGGTAGATTTAGATTAGATATAAGGAAGAAATTCTTCACTATGAGGGTGGTGAGGCACTGGAACAGGTTGCCCAGAGAAGTTGTGGATGCTCCCTCCCTGGAAGTGTTCAAGGCCAGGTTGGATGGGGCTTTGAGCAACCTGGTCTAGTGAAAGGTGTCCCTGCCCATGGCAGGGGGGGTCGAACTAGATGATCTTTAAGGTCCCTTCCAACCCAAACCATTCTATGATGATTCTATGATCTACATGTTTTGTGTCTTCACTCTTCACTAGAAACAACTAATCCAATAAGATAAGTAAGGAATACAGTGTCTTTATTTTGTAGAAAATTAAAAATGTTTCTGGTGATCAGCCATAAACCATGGCCTTCTTCCTATTGCATACGATAAATTATAAAGTGATAATCTTGCAGTGAAGACCAGTGACAAAACATTTAGTTCCTGCAGACATCAGCTGCAATTGAGTAGCAAAAATTTCTTCACACCTAGCATTGGTCAGAATTAATGGCCTGGCAAGCACTTAACGTGTCTTGCCTATACTACTGTTACAGCTACAGGCATACCATTGAGTTCTTCTAGAATTAATTCCTCTTTTTTACTTTATAAAGTAAATCAATAATCATGTAATGACCACTATGATGACCAATCCCTGCAAAAAGGATTATTTGTGTAATTATAATACACACCATGACCTGGAAATAATTGTAACTATAAAAAGCAATTTTCACTATGAAACCTCCCAAATTGGAAACTCTGATGCTCCTACAGCTCAGTTTTAGAACTCTATTAATACAAAAGAACTGTTTTAGAATGTAAATGTAAACGAACTCAACAAGGTCAAATGCAAAGATTTTGCAACATAATAATGTATTACCTGCACAATGTGGCTTATTGGTCCCAGAGATTCAGTTCATTTTGGCATGAAGGCTAGGTCCAGAGCTAAGCAGTGGTGAAGCATTTCCCCAGCCAGTGCTAGACCCAAGGACTGGCATGTGCACAGGATCCTTACAGATGAGGAAATTGAGAATTTCATGCAGGGATACTGGAATAGCAATATAGGTATAAAATTAATATTGTACTATGTGGGTTTTGATTGCTTCCTCCGAATAACACACGGAACAGAAACATTTTCTCTAGAGTTCTTTTAAAAACTAGCTTATAAATTAGCAATAAGTATTTATTTGCAATGCCACATTAGTATGTATGTCTATAGGTCTTACTGCGCAAGCTTAATAGTGATGAAAGATAACACAACAATAATAATCCTCTCTTAAATCTTAATTCAGTCCCCAATGTCCCACCAATACAATCCATCCTTCAATGCAATGTATATCTCTATCAGCAAGGTGATTAGTGTTCAAATAAGCATTAAGCCCTGAGTGACTCCTTTGAAGTATAAACTGGATTTTAATAATCTGATAAAGGATTGTCAGCTGGAGCAATCTTATCCTCACTACTTATAAAAAGACATCAATTTGGTAGAGGATGGACAGGAAATTACGTGGTGGTATAACAATTTATCGTGTATTTTTATTATGAATATTGTATTTAACGTATGCAGGGTTTCTCTCTAGGGAACCATAGGACGCCCAGGGCCACCTGGCTCTCTGGGACCTCCTGGTGAAGGTATTCAAGGAATTAAGGTAAAAAGACTCAGTGTCTTCAATATCTAACCTGTGTTGAGTGGTCAATCTGACAATCACAGTGTTAAGGGGATTTCGCATTGTTTCTTGTATGAGGAGAGCCTCAGGCTAGAAAATGAGAAGGATAACATGAGCACCTGCAAAGTATGTTCTGTCTCTACTGCTGTAAACAACAAGCCCAAGGGCGTGTGTATTGAGGGAGGAGGAAGCAGGGACATCTTTTATCAGTGAGAGCGCCTTACAAAATTAAAAATATCATTCCCTCTTCCCCAACTCTCATGCCCACGGAGACAATCTGAAGCAGTTACATGAACTACCACCTATGGTAGAGAGTCTCCATCCCGAATCTATGTGTAATATTTATTTTTCCCTGTGATATGCACTTTTACCCAAAGCATAGATCAGATGAGACAGACTCAAAAGACAGAAATAAAAAAGGGGGAACGAGAAAACGAGAAGGAATAAAATGGGATGGAAAGAGGGAACAGGAGAATTAGAACCAATAATGATCATGCGGTTTTTCAATATTATATATCTTTAGAGCAGACAAACTGATGAAGTATTTGAGAAACGTAAGCTAGCTACTACATTGTCTCAAGTGCCTCAAGACACTTGTTAAAATGCAGTTTGAAACACTTCCGCTTTGAACATTTAAAATTAATGCATGATGAATGATTACAAAGGGTTAATATCACTACCTGGATTATCATTAGGGGGAACAAGGAATTCAAGGAATGCCAGGACCACGAGGCCCCCCTGGAGAAGGGCTTTTGGGACAGAAGGTATGATATCTAATCAGAGATAATGTCCTAGACCGAAGCCAAAATACTGAAAATGCTCAGTACAGTCAGCTCTCATTGAAGGCATGTGAATTCTGTGAAAAGGGAATGGGGATTTGGGAAAACCTGAGTGATTCACGTGATAGTTTTAATATTGTATAGCAGCATCTCTTTCAGTGTTGCTTATTTTAATATCATATGAGGCTTATCTTCTACTGCAATTAGAAGAAATATAGATATTAGATTTAATATCACTGCCTTTCTTTTACCCACCCACTATGCAAAATTTGGGGACTAATCAATGTTAAGAAAAAGAGAAACGTGGTTTGGAATCAGTTTTTGGATGTGATCACATCTGCTCAGAAAGGCTGAACAAAGTCCTATAGTGTACTAAAAATCAAACCAGGAGGCATTAATTCATCTGTTTGCTATCCCAAACACCTTTTCTGGGCCAAAAGGTTTCTCAGAGTGATATTCCCATTATTCATTCCAACTATGTCCTTGCCTTTCTTCTCAATTTTCCTACTGTTATTTTTCTCAGACACAGATAATAAATCCCATGAAACCCCTCTGTCTGCATGTCCTTGTTTGAGATGGTTCATTGTTCAAACTGCTTCAGCTATTTTTTCCTATATAAATGCTTAGCCAATACTACAAGTTATTCACGAAATTCACAAATACCAATTGATTTAAATGATCTCAACAAAGATTTCTAACTCATGTCAGAAGCTGAAGGTGAATTCGACAAAGGCAGCTAAAGAGAAATGTGACAATGTGACAAGACTTACACTTTCTGTCTGCTTACCAATGTGATTTTAAAGGGAGATCGAGGAGCTACAGGTGAAAAGGGGAAAAAAGGAGAAAAAGGTGATGTGGGTGACCCTGGTTTATCTGGAGAACCTGTGAGTAACTCAGGTTTATCATGTCTGTTTTCTTAAACTGCTTAAAAATAAAGCCGGGTTGTGTGTTCTTCTTGCTATTTAACTACGTATAATCTGAAATACTTAAGAAACTGAAGCTATGAAAACCTTTAAAAGCATAAAGAAGACATTTCCATGCTGAATACCCCACTTCCCACAGATGTGGTTTCTTTCTTAAGGCAGTGAAAGACAATTGCCATGTTTTAAGACAAAACTATGCAATTCTATTCTATGGCTACCAAGTAACTGTAGCTCAGACTTTTCTCAAAGCTGATGAACAGATGAAGGGAGGCAAAATGGTAACTTTTGCTAATGGGCAGGTCCCCAAAAGCTGGATAGCAAAATGTGGTGCCCTTCTATTCTGACATTTGCATACTATTAAGTAGGGATACATAAACACCATTGCCGTTCTTGCCCTGACACTGGCCCTATTAGACTCACATATGAAGCAGAATTCTGATCATTCCAGGGTGTCAGGCAGGTATACAGTCTCTTGAGAAAGGAAACAAACACAACATGGTAGACAGGAAAGCTTTGCACAGATTCTCCTTTTCTAATGTAAACTGACAGTCGGTGATCCAGTTGGGAGACTTGAGATCATCCAATTCCCATAAAAACCTCATGACCTTAGGAGGTTGTAGATACTGCATGCACAAGGTAATATCACAAGAACACTACTTTTTCTAGCCAAAGTTCTTATTGGCCAAATATTATTCTAATAATAGTATTGATGAAGTCATATTCTGAATTACAATGTTACTAACTAATTGCAGTAGCTTAATTAACAATCACTGTTACAGGGCAAAACTGGACCAAAAGGAGAGCAAGGCCTAACAGTAAGCAAATTCCATTATTTAAATCCCATTACGGCAAGATACAAACAATACAAGATGCTATCAGATGAAATATATCCTATGTTAATTATTTTGGAAAGAGCTTTCTGACTAGAAGTGATCTCAGTAATAACATAGCGAGAAACCACGCGAAGGTTTCTGACTTTTTCTCATCCACTTTATGCTGAAATGGAATTTAAAGTTCCTGGTGATTTTAGGTATTTTTCTGCTACATATTCTTTTACAGTTAGTGTTAGATGACCCAGCTGTGTACCTGCTGCAGGAAAGTTTTTTTAAAAGTACTAAGAGTCTCAAGAGCAAAGATCTTCAAACCTGTCACGGTCTATCATGCTACAAACTTAATTATATTTCTGCTAAGCCTGAACTGCACTAGACCCAAATTCAGTAAAGCATGTCAGTGAGCATATAAATACTACTGAGGTTTATGATAGAAGCTGAGTGGCAGTAGCAAAAGGTTGTATTTGAAAGACTGACTCAATGCCAAATGAGTCCTGTCATGCACTTCAAAAAATGTAACAAATGATTGCACTAATAATGAGAAACACTTTGTTTGCATGTCACGGAAGCTATCACTTCTCTGAACAGACAGCTCTGAAGGCAGCAGCTTTTTTTTTGCTGCTGAAAGCTGGGTAATATAGTGGGCCAGGTACACTAAGGTTCACAAATCCCAATTCCATTCTGTGTTGGTGCTCTCTGTCATATGCCAGCTTACTACAAGCAATATGCTCCCTGAAGTCTATTGGGTCTATTTCTCCACTCCCAATACATTTAAAAGGGATATCCATATTATTCAGATGCTAAAATATGAATGGGTTTTGACTTTAAGTTTTAATGAGAACCAAATCATCACAAAACTTTTTTTACAGTAACAGTAGTTAATTGTTTTAGATAGAGGTGTTACTGTGTTGAAAAGTTAATGATTCTTATATGTCATATAGAACAGTTCATTGTAAAATGTGGGACTCATTCCAAGCTTGGAAAGTCAGGTTTGAAAGTTAAACAGTATGATTTTTCGTAAGTCCCTGTAGGACACAGATATTCATTATAAACAAATCTTTGGTAGTGTCAATATTATACCTCATTGAAAGAGGCAAATTGTAAAATATTTTTATATTTAATTTTTTCATATCCAGAGAGAAGATATAATTAAATTAATTAAAGAGATATGTGGTAAGTACTCAGGAAATCATTAATTTCAGATTCTATTTTTTTCTTCCTTACATTTACATTCGTCTTCTTTCCAAAAGGATACCAAGTCAGGTCATCATGATCTGTCTTTTTATTTTTCCTTTGCAGGTTGCGGTATTAAATGTAAGGAAATTCCTATGGAGCTTGTATTTGTGATTGACAGCTCTGAGAGTGTGGGACCAGAAAATTTTGAGATTATCAAAGACTTTGTAACTGCTTTAGTAGACAGAGTAACAGTAGGCAGAAATGCTACCAGAATTGGCCTTGTGTTATACAGTTTAGAAGTTCGGCTAGAATTTGGTCTCAACAAGTATACAACTCAACAGGATGTTAAGCAAGCAATTAGAAAAATGCAATACATGGGAGAAGGCACTTACACAGGAACTGCTATCCGTAAAGCAACCCAGGAAGGATTTTTTGGTGCTCGAACAGGAGTGCGAAAAGTAGCTATTGTGCTAACAGATGGCCAAGCAGACAAGAGAGAAGCTGTAAAACTAGATATTGTCGTTCGAGAGGCTCATGCAGCAAACATCGAAATGTATGCAATAGGAATTGTAAATACTTCAGATCCAACACAGGTCGAGTTTGTGCGTGAACTAAATCTGATTGCTTCAGATCCAGACAGAGAACACATGTATCTCATTGATGACTTTAACACCCTTCCAGGTGCGTTCATTGCAGTTTTATTCTGCGTTGTATCTGATGCTTCTCAGAACAGGGCGGGGTGGGGAGGAAGCATTATCTTCGGGGATATATTACGTTTTGATGCTGATCAGGATTAGTTACAAGGTGCAAAGTAATAGGAACATACAATTAAGATTCCCTTCTTTTAAGGAGTCACGTTATAGGGCAATGATTCATCACACCAATGGGGGATGTCACCTACAGTGTAGGAAAACAGCTGCTTAAACTAGCTTTCTAAGCTGAGGAAGTGCTCATGCACTGTAAATATGCTGGACTAGAATCCAGAATCAAACCCACTGGGGTAAATTCTACTTATTCACTTCCATTGGGAAATAACCCATTTTCACTGGGTTATTCACATGAGCAAGGTAAGCAGTTATTTTCCCGCTACCAACTAGTAGTTGTTACTAAGCTCAGATGAACACCTTTAGTTGAGTTCATTGTATTTTGTACCATGTAGAGGACTTATGGGCTGGCAAATTTGTGACAAATAAAAGCCATAGTCCAGAGAGCCTGGAATAATCTTCTTAGATGCATATAAATAATCCAAAGGAGTACTGGATTACACGTGTATTATTTATGTATATTAATAATCCAAATTCAAAAAATACATTGAATTTCTCAGTATGATGAGTTTTTTACCTTTTTTTAAACAGCTCTGGAGTCCAAATTAGTCAACCAATTTTGTGAAGATGAACATGGTACCTTAATATACAACCGTAATGGAAATGGTGCAAGCATAAGTGGACCATCTTTCCATTCAGTATCTTCAAATTCTTTACACTACATACTTCAGAACAACAATGTTAATAGACAATCACTTTCAGCACAGACACCTGGAGTATCTACAGTAGAAAATCCTCTGAGTCTTGGCGATCTTCCTCAACCATTAGCTCTGGTATGAAAATTTACCAGGTTTTAATGAGCAAAAGTTTTATACGTGTATCTCCTTCTCTGTTGCCTGATGTAGTATGTAACTTTCCCCTTACTTTTCTACAGGACAGGTATTGTAGTAGCTCCTTTAACTTGGAGCTGGTTGTTCTGCATAAGAGTTCTGATGTTGCATGCAGGCAGTTATCTAATGGCTATAATTTATTCCTGATGCTGTTACAAGGATTTTTATTCCTGTGTTTAATACAGTAACATTTGTGCCACAGTGTGAAATATAACATTATTAAAATGCTATTACACTGTAATAATTAAGTCTAAGAATAGTAATTAAACTCAACTGTAGTCTATATTTTTAAGTTTGTAAATAAAATTCTGTAAAGGTCAACTGAAAAAAAAATATATATCCCAGGCTTAGGATTAACAGCCCTCCTGGTAAACAAACCAGGTGAGGTTAAAATCCTGATTCTTAACACTGAAGTAAGGGTAAATGGGAAGGAAAAAACTTAGAAAACCTCTAAGTGATGAAGGGCTTGTTCCTTTTGAAATATCTGAAAAGCAAAGAAAATCAAATGCTTATTTCAGACCAAAGTACCTCCTGTGGTAGTATACGAAGCCTATGAAGAGGAACAAGAGGAGGAGGAACAGTCATCCTTGCTAACAGTCGACACTAGAGGTATTTTTATCATCGTTCATTTCTTCATCTTCATTTTTGGCTGATGAAAAATCAATGTCTCATTCTGTTTCTTTTCACCTGCAGCTGTGGTACCATTATGGCCATCTAAACCACCATCACCAGATAAAGTGATTACATCATCTCTTTCAACTGCAGGGCTCACACCAAGACCAGGTTATAGATCGTAACTAGTTTTTCATTTTGTTCCCTCTTATCCTGATACTAACTTTTCATAAGGCTTTAAATCAGAGTAATTTTATTCCACTCTCTGAAGACTTCGTGGAAGAGAATCCATTTCAGGATTTTATAACAGTTGCAGTTCTTGTCCAGCCTGTTCACCAGTTCTTGTCTTCCCAAATTCCAAATCCCACTGCTCCACTTACAGCAGAAGCAAGGTCAGCTATAACCTGAGACAGAGCTCATAAATGGCATCAAAAAGAGAACATAGTGCTAGCTGAGGTGGGCCAGTGAACAGGTAATTCATCAGCCAAGAAGGGGCAGTCTCTGGAGATGGGAGGCTTCGTTAAAGACAGAGAAAATAATGATTTCAGAATTGGACAGAAAAAACAGGTTTCTCCTTAAGAGGAGAAATAGGAAAAATCAGTGTTTAGTCATTTGAAGGAAAGTATAGTAGTTAGCTGACTGCTCAAAAGATTCATTTTTTTCATATGAATTGTCCAAATGTATTCTGTTCATCATTTGGGGGATTCACACTTTTGAATAATACACTATTTTCCAGTAATAGTGTATTATGACGGTAGCAACAGAAGAGAGCAATAGAAACATGTTCCCATGCTTCCTGGGAACATGGGCATGACTAATATTCTGTCTCTAGCAATAACTTTTTTTTTCCCGAAGTGTCAGGGTACCAGTTGCCAAAGACAGAATATTGATGTCATAACATTAAACTTGAAGAAAAAGTATTTTCTATCTCATGGTATTATTGAAGTGAGTGAGACTAGATTAGTATGTCACAGTCCTCTAATTCATATCTGTAGGAATCATTAGACCAACAAGCTTTACATTCAGACTTAACTTGTATGTACATAATTACTACCATTGTATTAGATAAGTAGCACAAACATCTTACAAAAGAAAGACTAAAGTTTTGTATTCTTCTCACTATTCTAATGCCTCTTCCCCCACACCATAAAGAGAACTAATGTACTGAAGCAATGTACTACAGAAGGATGATGGTCATACTTGTGGTTCAAAAATAGCAGATGCAACTAGCTTACAGCTCTTTGGCTTACAATTTTGGGTTGCTCACAAGACTGGTTGCTGATAATTAGATTTCAAAAATTAGATTTCAAAATTATCAGATTCATAGTGTTTGCTCTTCTTGTATGTGGAGCCGAAATACTATTATTCCTGGAGTTACTAGAACCATGCCAGTAAAGGAACAGTTTATTTAACCTATTGAGATGCACTTTTAACTTGCCTTCAATGCTAACATCTTTAGAACTGCTGTATAACATTAGCAGAAAAAATAAAATAAAATCAGAGTTTAAAAGTTAAAATGTATGCAATACAATTCCTTTTTTTCTTTATTTTAGAAAGTATCCTGGACCTCCGGTGCAAGTTAAGGCTAGATCAAGGGCCATGCCGTGTTTATATCATAAAATGGTATTATGATAAACAAGCCAATGCTTGTGCTCAGTTTTGGTATGGAGGCTGCGATGGAAATGCAAACCGCTTTGAGAGTGAAGAGGAATGTAGTGAGGCTTGTGTTTTTTTTTCTGGAGGTAGGAATTTATCTCTGCGTTAATAACGAGCAAGTTGAAGCTGTTTGGGTTTGTTATCAAGTATCCAGCATGGTATGTAAAACCAAACCCACTAATTTAAAGAATGCTAACATTACGAAATCATATGCTCACTAAATAAAAAAATGTCTACCTATGCAACATCACTTCAATTCTTTTTGCATATATTGTATGATGTAGTCCTTATGTAACAAAATAGCAATTTTTCAGCAGTATCAAGAGTACAAAATTTCCTTTTTACTAAGGTTTAGTAAAAGCAGTATAGCATTTGCCATAGTAATTGCCCTTCTTTCACCTAGATCTTTAAATACTACCATTGTACAATCACTAACTATACCTCATTTAAAATTACATATATGGCTTTGGAAAGCAATCTTTGGTCATTAAAATTATGTAATTTCTTTTCTCTCCGTTACCGAAATCTGATATTTGGCATGGATTTTGCAGTGAAGACTTAACTTTTTTTAAGCAAAAGTGTTCCCACAAATCCTATTTTAAAATTGCCAGCATAAAATATCAATGTCCAAATTACATGCAGAGTACTACTCAGTACAGATAAATACAGCAAATGCATCAACTTGTGGCCTATGTGCTCTCCAGGACACAAGACAGGAGGTGGCTCAGCTACCCACCTTTCCCAACCACATCACTGTTACATTTAGTCCTTTTTTCTGTGAACTTTCCTCTGTTTCCATTTGCTGGCAAGATACAAATGCAGTTAAAACACATCCACAGATTTATATGAGTGACTATACCAATAGCTGGCATCACTGAATTAAGTTAGTTCATGTCTAAAGTGGTCCTTGGCACGTGTTTCTCTTCTGAAAGCCAAGTCTAAACGCATTTTAGTATTTTCATTTCTTTTTAACCTTATGTTCAAAACATCAAACGCAGCATAGAGTTTATTGCCCATCATTGCCATATTGCTTTTTACATTTATGTCTGCCTGTATATGATGTATTTCCTATTACTTGACTTACATACTTAAAAGCTTGTTTCTAATAAAACATTTCTGGCTTCACTGCCAGGACAGAGAATGAATAATGGTACCTTTAGAGGACTAAAAAATTACCTCACAGCTAAATTACACATTCTGTGTAATGTGCTCCTGATGATGTAACCGGATTTCTGCCACAGCCCTTGACAAGACTGAACATCTCAGATTAGGCA